AGAAATGAACTGGCAAATGTGGCTGTTCTTTTAGTAATGGTGTTAAGATCCTGATGGTTATTATCTTGCAGTCTTGGAGAAAAATTAACTAGTTCCCAAATTCCATTAAATATCTCACAAACTTTTATTCAGCTACCGTTTGAATCAGGCTTTGGTTTTCTTACTTTTTAGTGCTAACATTGTTGCTGCATTTGTAGAAAACAAGGTAAGCTTTGATCAGGCTGAAGTGCTTTCCACTCCTGTAACAATGTCTCTTGTCCAGTGAAGTAATGTCATACAAGAAAACAACTTCTTTATAGCCAGAAATGTAAACATTTTCCTCCTTTTCTTTGAGGGTAGGAAAGAGAAAGAGATCTGTATAGTTATATCCAAAGTAAGCATGCTTCTCAGTGAGGAAACTAATTTCATAAGCCTACTGACATGTTTAGAGTCATGTGTAGATGTTACCTATCACACTTACGTTATCTCTTTATAACACATCTTTATCATCATAGCAAACAATCAATTTCTATGTTACAATTATCTCCTTAGCTAAGACTAAGATAATGTTGGTGCTTTACAGAGTTGATAAAACAGAAAACCACATCTAATGCTTTCCCTTGTGAATTTGGTGATCAGTTGCTGAAAAAAAAGCTCTTTTCCTCAATCACAGTCCTACTGTGCCTGAACATTTTCTGTTTGTCAGGCAGATGCAGGAAGCTATGACACTGGCTTAAAAATTGTAGCTTCAAAAGAGTTTGGGCGTATTTTATTTGCCGGCTCTTTCGGAGTATATTTAGGTCAATTTTATGCATAAATTTAGGAATTTATGGTTTTAATTGTTAGTCTCATATGACTGTTGGTTCCCAGAAACTGCTGTAAGTAGATTAGCGAATATTATGTCGTAATAGCCTTTGCCTTCATGTACTCTACCAGCACTGAAAGGGGAGAGATCTTTTTTTGGTCCTGGATTCAGCAGAAGGTACAAGCTAAACTGTTGCCCCTGCACAAGTTCCTTTCTCAGCCAGCTGGGAAACAATTGAACCTGGTCCTCCTCACGCAGAGGGCAGCAGGGATGTATTGATGTACTGCTGTAGTACCTAACAAAGCCAGGACAACTGAATGGTCCTGGAAGGGACTGGGAAGAACACTGTTACACTGTGGCGTATGCAGACCTCAGTACTACCAAGAGAAAGAATGAAATGATGACATGAGATCTTCCACCCTTCTTATATCCTGTAAAGAACAAGTATGGGATTACCCTAAGGACTTAAGATGTAATTTCTCACCTATTTTTGCTGACATGCTCTGATGATGTATAAGATAGTAGCATAACACTTGTGCAAGCAATCAAGTTTTATAACAATGCTATTGCTTAACAGGGTTAGTTTTCTATTCTGAGATTGTTTTCCAGATAAGGAGTTTGTTCAACTCTTGTCTCACCTTCAGAATGCATAAAACTAAAGTGGAAATAGATGCCAGTTTTCAAATATTTTCAAAGTGAGATTTTTCTCCATAGTTCATCCCCTTTTTGCTACCCTGGTAATGCCACAGGTCTCACCCTGGCTGTATTTGGTGAGCTGTGAGTTCCTCTGGAGGGATCCCCCATTTCAGCCTGTTGGAGGTGCAGCCTGAGAAAGAACGAGGTCAGGCTGGAGCATGGCTGTTTTGGCAGTTGTTAGAGGGTGTAAGAGTGTTGCCAGGTAACATGAGATAGGGCTTGATCCTCTGTGAACCTGCTTGGAGACTGAGCTGTGGTAATGTGGGACAGAAGACAACTAAGCCACAGCCAGCTTCGTTTCCCTGTGGGTCTGCCCCTTCTGCCTTGCCAAGCAAACCTCAGTGCAGGACAGTGTGGCCCAGTTTTAAGAGATTATTCTGCACTGGATTTTGAGTATATACAGGAAACTACTACAAAAGCTACTGAACAAAAAAATCTTAGTGGACATGTTTCAATGAGAATAAAACAGTGCAACACTGATCTTCTGTTGAAAATGTCCCCTGTACATCAGTCTGGAAGCTTTTAGAAGGCATTTTGGAAGAAAATGTGCTTCCAGACTGATTCATAGGTTCCTCAGTAATTAGTTCAGCAGCTGTTTCACTTTCTCAGAAGTAGTCACTGGAGCAGCCTAAACCCAGATTTAATGTCCATTAAAAAGGAAATGCTTCAGTGTTGGAATCTACATCATCATTCTTGCTCTCAGGGAAATACTGCACTTTTATAAAAAAAAGAGTCTTTCCTTTTTGGGCCAAATTCCAACTGAACTACAAGAGAGACAGGTAAAATATTAATTGTGTTGATAAGCTCGATGTGAGCTTATTGTAAAACTGAAGATGGCCTGTTGGATGCTAGGGAAGCAGAATTAAGGAAAGGATTAGATCAATTAAGGATGCAATTTTTGCAAAAGCAAATGTTAACAAAAATGTGGGTGATCAGTAAGGTGTTATGTTGTATTTCAGAGTTTAAGCCAGTCTCTACCTATTAAAATTACAGAATTACAGAAATTGGAGGTCAAAGATATGAAGAGAATGTATTTAGTTATGTTCCTTGCCTAGAGCTGATCAACTATACCTGTCATTCCTGACAGATGTTACACTACTATGCCATAAAACCCTCCAGTGCAAGATATGCCGTAACTGCAATGCAACCTATTCTTACATGTAATTAACCTCAATTGTAGAAAGCTCTTTCTAATCTGTTGCATCTCCTTTGTTGCCTTTTAAGCCCATATATTTCTGTTATTTTGAATCTAGTACCATAGTGTAAATTATTAGTGCTTCATGGCAAGTATTTCTATTTTTGTTATCCCATAGTCTTTCTGTCTATTCATTGTTTCCCCAGTCTTTGAGCTTGTTCTCTAAATCATATTATGGGATCTCTGATAACTCTTACTGGCATTTCTCTGGAGCTTCTCCAACTCACCGAAGTCTTTTTGGCATGCTGTCCTGAACAAAGGACACTTGCAGGTCTAGATCCTACTGCAACAAGCAGAGTGTAAGGATTACCTCTCGGGCCCTAAGCATGATACTCCTGTTTAACATACAGCTTGCTTTTATAACAGCACCATGTTGTTAACTCTGCCTTAGTTTATATAATTTCCTGCAGAGCAGATTACAATGAAATAATCTGTTGGAAGGATGCGTTCACAGGAGCTCAACAGTGCTCACTTTGCCCCAGGTAGCTTGTAGAGGCTTCTTACGTGGCAGTGCTTTCTGGCTGTTTGAGGAGACAAGATCCTGAATTAGACACCCCAGGCATCCACCAGAAACACCTATAAGTAACTTCCCAGCTTTTCCTCATAAAGTAAAACCATGTGATTTTCACAGCTGCCTTTATCATAATTGTCCTTATCTGAAAAAGGTGCAATTATGTACTGTGAAGAACAGGCTTAGAGAGAGCAGAGAACTGAATCATGCTTACCTCCCTCTTGAAGAACTTACTGTGTCAATGGATTGTAGCATTGTCACTGTTGACCCTTTCCTTTCTGTAGGGTCCCTTCTTGTCAGATATAAACCATTCTTGGGAACAGAAATTTTGTCCATGCAGCTCTCTGTCTTGTCTATCTTGAAGAATTACATTTTATTATTGAACAAAAAATCTTAATATAACATATAGATGCAATGTTTTTGTTGTTGTTTAACAGCATGTCAGCTGGAAACAGTTAAGAACTTCACTGCAGAGTCTATGGCTTGATGATAGAATGGCAATATTTACAGTAGAAAAAATGGTTGCACTTTAAAATGTACTGGTTAAATAATATCTAACAGTAGAATACTGTAAGAAGTTGTATCTAATGTAGAGAAAGAAAGTAACTTTAAAATAGGACAGCTTTTTCTTATTGCATACAAATTAAAATAAATTTATTTGAAGAGGAAATTCCTTTTACGTGGAGCTGCAGGTTGCATTAGATCATCTGATTTCATAAATAAATAGATAAATAAATCCAGTAATTCTGTAGCTCTTCATTTTATCTGCTTTGAACCTATACACACTGATTATTTTACCTGATACATTGAGCAGAACAAGCTCCTTGGAGCAGATTGTTTTTGTAAATGTCCTGCTTTCTCAGTGCAGTGCTCCAAAATATCCCTCTGTGCTACTTTTTCCATGGATATTTAACCTCTAGTTTTGGATTCATCCATCAACAGGAGACCATTATCCTGTGACTCTGATCTTTGTCTTTTCTACAGCTTCAAAAATAAGACAAACTGATCAAATGTCTTTCTTCTCCATCTTATGTAGAAAGGAAGAGAGGTTTGCAGAAAGAAAATATATCTGGTGACACCAGATGACGTATAGCTGAGGGGAACAAACAGGACAAGCCTTCCAGCTGGGAGTCCCTCCATGAGCTCTGGCAAGAAGCAGCAGAAGTGCTTGCCAACATCCAAGTGCTATTTCATCTATACATGCACAGAAGTGGCATTCGTACCTGTTGCTTTAAATTTACTGGGGTTTTTGTCTGTGAAAAAATGGAAATACTAGCTTCTGAAACTGTAATGGCTGCAGGCTCCAGCCCGAGGCTGAGTCGCACTGGCAAGATAAGGGCTTGAACTGCCTGGCATCAACCACAAGATGAAATTTCACTTTCTCCTCCCTGAAGCACCGAAACATGGTATTACACCAGACTCGTCTGCATTTTTTAAGGTTAAATCAGGAACACTTTATGTGGACAAGAGTAATTAAATCCCCTAAGGGAATGCGAATGATTAACAACACAGGATGAGGAGAAGGGACAGTGATGTTAGAGATAAATATCTGACGGGAAGCCTAGTCATTCAAGTCCCTACACTTTATTTCTGGTGGTGTAGCTGTACAAGTCAAGTGAAAACAGCAAAAGCGATGCTGAGCCGGTTCTTTAGGTGCCACCTGATATTTGTAAGTGCAACCTCAGAAAAACAAGCTTGGAAACCAGAGCAGGAGTCGTGGGAACGCAGGAGATTTAAAATCAAATGCTTAAACTGCTTCTCCCGAGGGTTCCCGTGGTGAGCGTACGTGCGATGGAGCTGCTCTTCACAACGAAATGTTGAAGTTGCCAGTGCGGGGGGAGGAGGAAGCCTCCCAGGGAGGGCAGCCGAGCGGCGACCCTCCGGCGAGGCAGGGCAGCGGGCGGGAGGAGCCCCGGGGCGAGCCCGCACCGCGGCGGTCACTGCACTTACAGCCTCCGAATGGTGCTGGGTGCACGGAGAGAGCTGGCGCCCGTCACAGTCCGCACCCTGGGCACCCAACCGCCCTCCCCGCCCGCCCATCGCTGCGGCTGCGGGAAAGCGCGGCAGGTAGGAGCGCACGAACGCCCCCACCCCGGAGGGCTGTAACTCATGAAAGGTACGCAGATGTGTTAGGCAAAAACAAACCACTACTCGTCACCTGGAAAAACAAACAGACAAAATCCCAGAACCCCAACCCCAAGAACCCAAACGGTTTTGCAATCGTCGTTCTGCAACCCGAGCGCGGAGAAGAGGCGCCCCCGGCCTGGGGTGGGGCGGGGAGACAGGCGGCAGCGGCTGCTGCACCCCTAGAAGCGCACAGCCAAGGAAGGAAGCAGAGACCCCCACGGGGTGATCAGCGACCCGCGGTGTCGTTTTCACTATGTCCGTGCTCCTTTTTAAACTTCAAAGCTAAACTCGCATCAACAAAGCAGCACCGGCCCCGCGGTTCCCCCCGCGGCTGTTCACCTCCCGGTGAAACGCACAACTCCTGCCATCGGGAGCCACCCGTGACCTCGGTGTCTGCAAAGCAAAAACGAAAAAACGCCGGGAGCTCCCCGGGAGAGCCCCCCCAATTCATTTTAAATGGCGAAACGAGCAATGTAACTGCCTCGATACCTGCCCCACTGCGAGGCACGACCCGACCGCGCAATGCGCGTGGGGATCCGCTTGCTGCGGTATCCCCGCCGGGGCCGGCGACACTGACCGCAGCGGAGCGGCACGGGCAGCACTCACCCGGTGGTGCCACAGCAGCCGGGGACGTGGAAATCCAACGGCTGCGGAGGGGAGCGAGGGACGGGCGGAGCCGCACCGGGCCTGGCCGGGGGACTCTCACCGGTGGCTCATACAGATTGCCGCCGTCCTCGGCAAACGCCCTACGGCGGGCAGGGAAGGCACCCCCGGCTCCCGCGGGCCGCTGGAAGGGCTTTCTGCTTCCAGACTCTGCAGAGCAGCCCGCCCGGCCAGCTCCCTTCCCCTGCCCCCGCCCGCCTCGGCTGACAGCTGTGTTCTCCCACCCATGTCGCGTCGCATCTCCCCACTGCCGTTCCCCCCGCCGCCGGGCGGGTACTTGCCGCTCCTGGGCAAACAGGCCACCGGGGCAAACATCCTGCGCGGCAGGTGCAGCGCCGCTGCGCCGTGACAGAGGGCCCTCCGCGGGTGATGCATGGGCGGCGGGCAGCTGCCCGGTAATCCCCGCCAGCGGGGCTGCACGTTGCGCCGGGGGGAGGTGACTCTCCCTTCCCCCGTGCCTCTTCCGTGAGCGGAAAGGCGCTGCACCTGCCCTTGGAGTTGTGATGATAATGGTCCTAGAGCCCCGGGGTACGCCAAGGACCGGTCCCGCGGAACAGCTCGCTGCCGCCGCGGGGCCGCTCGCAGGTGCCGGAATGCCGGCCGCAAGCCTGGCGGGGAAGCGGGGAGCCCGGGGTGCGCCCCTCAGGCAGGACTCAGAGCTGCTCCGCCAGCCCCGGGGAGGCGGCTGCCGGGAGCCCTTCCTGTGCGGTGTCCCCGTCGGCAGCACATCCTGCCCGGACCCGGTTCCCGCGGGACCCCAGCCCGCCCAAGCGCAGCTGCTGTCGGGGCGGGTGGGTGCGACCGGGTTCCCCGCTGAAGTCGCTGCTGGGCGGGCGGGGTATGGGGAATCCCGGAGAGGGAGCGCACCCGCTCTGCAATGCGGTCCCTCTGCTGCAGAGGTCGCCACCCGTGAGCGATCCCGCGGGGAGCGGGGCCGGGCCGCAGCCCTGCGTCGTGAATGGGCCCCCAATCTCCTCCGCAGTGCCCCCCCCCCCCGACGGGGTGTTTTTGTGAATGGGACCTTCGTGGAGCGGAGCATGACGTCACTACCGAACCGGGCTTTGGCGTCGGGCGGCCGAGGCGGTGATTGGCTGGCGGCCCCGCGCGGGCGCCCACGCAAGCTGCAGCGGCGGCAGGTATAAAGCGGAGCGGGCGGGCGCAGGGTGGTACGGCGGATCCGCGGTTCCACCGGCCTCCTACTCCGCCACGCTCCGCCCCGCCGGTAAGCAACGCACCGCGCCGCTTCCCTGCCTGCGGCAGGTAGCGTAAGTCCCGTTCTATTTCCCTCCCAGGATGCGGAGCTTTGCCCGCGGCCGTAATGCCTTCTTCATTCGTGTGTTTGTGCACGCGTGTGCAAGGAGCGTGGGACAAAGTTGGTCCTCGGTCTCTCTGTTCCTTCTTCCAGCCGACACGGCGTGGCGTGTCCCTCTGGGCGGGCGGGCGGCTCGCCGTACAGAGCTAACCCCGGTGCCCGACCGGGTGCTCCTCGCGGGGGACGCGTGGGAAAGCAGGGCGTCCTTCGGGAGGGGCCTCGTGCCGGTGAGCCCTGTCGAGGGTTGGAACCTGCTGTGATTGGTACTTAAGGATCTGTGTTAGATCAGAGTCTAAGACATTGATGCTGTGAGATAAAGAGGTGTATCTCAAAGCAGATTTTTTTTTTTCTTTTTGTATAGGTTTTGTACTTGTGACTAGATTTTAACTTATTCTGGTTTTGGCCTCAGAGTAGAAATAGCTATTGAAATTAAACTATGTAATTCTCATAGTGTAATCTGAACTGGGATATTCCTTGCCAGGAAGCAAGCAGTTCAGGTAAGGTGCTGGCAGTGGCACTTCATTCTTAAAAATATTAAATACTGACAATGTCTTTATTTTCTGATGTGACTTGTGTCCCAACACTATACCTGTTCATGTCAGATGCACTATGACATTGTATGCAAGAGTTAATCAGAGAAACGTGTTTTCCATCAGTTTGAGGGAAAGTCTGTAGTAAGTTGAATGCAGATGGCTGTACAGAACCGCAGGTCTGGAAAGCTGCATTTATATCCCCTGTAATAGTGCTAAGTTATCTTAATCTTTTTGAGAAAACCAAAGTTTTTGGTTTCGACCAAAACCCAAATGATTACTTTTGACTGGTAATAGCACTATTCAAAAGAAATGGAAAGGTAATATTTAAGAATACTAAAAAAATGGCTGTTAATATTTGTGTTACTCATGGCTAAGAAGTGATGACCTCTTTGGTGGAACTTGCAGGACTGAGAGGGTTGGAAAACAGCCATTTCTTGATGTACCTCTTTCTTGTAGAGAGGAAATCATGGTTGTGCTGAAGATTTCATCTTTCCTTGCTGTTTATGCCTTGGTGGTGTGCCAGATGGATAGCTTCCAGGCAGCCCCAGTCAGGTAAGAAGCTGGTCCTGTCACTGTATCTGAATGGTATGAAAATACTTAACATTCTTTAGACAACTAAGAGGGGTATAAACTTCAGTGAAAGAGAGAGCTGGCTTCTTTGATGACATTTTTGGCACTGTGGCTTTTTTTATATATAAAACATCTGATGCTGTGCATGAGGATGCTTTCCATATTCACACCTGTGAAAGACACTGTCAATGACATGCAATACTGCGTGACAAACCCCTCTCTCCTGTGTGTGGTTCTCTGCAGCAATCTGGGTTTTATTCACCCTGTTTTGTTTGCCTCTGCTTAGACCTGGCTTGGAGTCCATAACAGATCGAGTGACGCTCAGTGATTACGAAGCTCGGAGATTATTAAATGCACTGGTGAAAGAGTTCATACAAATGACAGCAGAAGAGCTGGAGCAAGCCTCTGAAGGGAACAGGTAAGGACTGCAGTCCTGAGGCAGAAGGAGGGCAGTGGAGAATGTTATATGGTTTGTATTTAGCAAGAGCAATCTGAGCAGATGGTCTGCAGGTCAGGATTTTTTTTTCTTTTTTTTTGGGGTTGTGGCTAACAGTGGTCACCTAACTGGTAAAGGATGATACTGCAGAGACATCTTAACGTTGGTATCAGGAGAACGGCTTCCATCCAGTTAACCTGTGTCTGCCTGTCTTTTACAACTGATAGTGGAGGGCGACTTGAGCTTGAATGAGAGGGTTATGTTAAAATATGACAGCAAAAGGTACGTCTTCCTAGTGGGAGTGCTAGGGGCCATTCAGTCACTCTTGGATTCTCTGTCTCAAAAGTGCATGCTGTTGTAAGGCATGGTAAGTCCCTGGCAGGGGGGATGTGTTCCTCCCAGTGCACGCAGCGCTGCTCTCCCCTGTAGACCAAAGGCATGCAAGAGCATTTGCATTATCCTAGCAGGATTTGTATTGCAAAGCATGATGGTGATGTATGAGAGGCTGAACAGCATGCTGAATACATGGGAAGTAAAACTGACCTATGACTGTGAGCATCCAAAAGGCTAATGAACTTGCTTTTCAACAAAGTTCAATTAATTGAAAGACAGCGTTTTTCTTCAGACTGCATTTGTATGAACTTTCCTTGCATGGAATGTGATGTGGAGGGTTTATTTTTTGTTTTTATTTTAAGTTTACTAACTGTATGTATGTATTTCTCTAGGGAAGAAATGCATGAATGTGCATGTTTGAGGTTTCTCTTCCTTTGGGCATGTTTTTTTTTCCCCCTGCAGCCTGGATAGACCTATTTCCAAACGCTGTGCCAGTCTGAGTACTTGTGTGCTGGGCAAATTGTCTCAAGAATTGCACAAATTGCAAACTTATCCTCGCACTGACGTCGGGGCTGGAACTCCTGGCAAGAAACGAAATGTGCTGAGTGACGTGGAACACGAACGCTATGCAAAATATGGGGAACCCCTGGGAGACAACTAGACATGCTTATTTCTCCCCTTTTCCCTTTTTTAACCTGATGCATGTGGATCTAACTTTGATTGCTAACTTTGCTATGTTCTTTTGATTCTGTTTTTGATGGAGAATGTTTGAGGTGGACCTAATGTTAGGAAAACAGGGAACGTAACATGCATACCAATCTAAGGGGAAAAAAATTAATAAAAATGAACAGCACTTCCTTGACATTTCAAATGATTTTCTTAGACTCTGATTAAAAGAAAATAATCTAAACAAGGCTTTTCATTTCTGGCTGCTAAATGTACAAGTAGGCTCTTCTTTTGTGCTTGCCCATGCATTTGTTCAATAAACCTATTTTTCTATAAGGATTAGATCTGCTTGGTTTAATAACTTGTTTTAGAATGTGAGATGTCTAGGTAAGGCTAGAAAAAATATACAAGTTCTTGTTTAAGTGCTCAAGAGACGCAATGCTACTAATTCTGGACAGTCTAGAAGAACTTAGAAATTGAAATTATGCACATACATTTGAAGGTTCTAATGTAATCAGACATGTGTGTAATACTGTTAGCAAGGATCCTGAGAAGTAAAGGAATCAGGAAAGGCTCATACAGATTTGTTCAAGCAAACTAGAAATGTAAACCTGTTTTAAAACTGGGTACTGAACACTTCCAGGTAAGAATTTCGCGTTATTTCCCTTTTTCCTTCTTACTTTACAATAGGTCTTTACACTAGTATAATTTAAACTTGGGTATCTTTATAGTATTTGTATCAATATCAATTTAGGTGAATCATAAGAGACAAAATCACATTTATTTACAATTCTTCTGTTGCAGCACTGAATTTATCTTTTAATCAGAGGCCTGTTCCAAAAAATTGGCATTGATGTTACAAAGAGTATTTGTTGTTAACATTAACAAAACTGTCATTTAATGCTTATCTGAGAAGAGGCTAGTTGCTTTAGTAAAAAATTATTCAAGCATTGTGAAATGCTGTAGCAGACAGGTCTAACTCCAGGAAAGAGGGGTTCCTAGATTCCCTGGGAACATGGGAAAAAGCATATTTATGTGTGGTTCAGCTCTGGAAGGAACTGGTCAATTCTGTACAGCACTACCAGAGTCACTAACGCAGTTCCTGTGCTAGGGTTTCATGTGTTTTCTGGCTGCTATGTAGCCTAGGTGTTGAAGTGGGACATTACAGTCCTTCAGCAGCGCTACAAGCAAAGCACAGATCTGAGCTTTTGGAGGGAATGGGGATTGGTTAAATGGTTCAAACCTGGACCTCCTCAGCACCTCTCCTCACCATCATGGTCATGATGGAGGCAGGCAATGGCTCAGGTGTTGCTAAAAATCTGGCTTGGTTTAGTCTTCAGCCCAGGTGCCCAAGAAACAAAGGGTTCAGCCACCTTTTGTAAACTGAGCATGACACTTAGAAAAGCATAAAGGTACATCTTTTAGAATTTGTAAGCTGCTCAAACAAAAAGTACAAGTGCCTGCTGCACAGCAAGCCTGCTTTTTTTATCTGTAGAAGGATCTTTCATAGGCATAGCATCCCTCACTGATGTTTCATTGTGTGCTGGGTAGATACTTTGGGAATTAACTTGTTATTTTCCTTTTGAAAAG